AAAAAAAAAAAAAACGCAAGCATGCTTGAACTATAACAAATATACTTCGACATTAAGCTTTCACTGGAAATTTATACTTTTTCTTCAAAATACTGCATCAGTGCCCTACACCTTAGCTTTCCCATCATTAAGAGAATAAAAGTACAACTTGTAAGGTTTAACTTGAATAAGCAATTCTAGGAGACAGTGTGCTCCTTGGCACTATGTCTTACTCATCTTACTATCCCCTAAGCCTTTCACAGTGTCTGATACACTGTAGGCCTCCAGTACATGTCTGACTTAATGAATGAACTAACTATGGAGGAGTTTTTTCAGGCCGAGATATGTGAGAAAGGAACCAATGTGTTTCACAAGGAATCAGGATTGGTGACAGGAGTAATCTGGGACTGTGGTATTTGCCAACCCTTACTTCACTCTACCCTGCTTGGTTTCGCCTCCCTTTCTACCTGCCATCTCACAGTTTCCAATGTGCAGTGTCTGCTGGGCAGTGCCTTGGACACATGAAATCAGATATTTGATATGCACAAGACCATTTTACACACACAGGCTGACAAGTAGGAAAATGATAATACAACAGATAGACTGCTGATACGTTATGTCTTCCCAGATTAATGGAGCTAATTACTTACATAACAGCTAACCACAGGGTTAAAAAAAAAAACCTGACTAGAAAACCGATTAGACTAGAAGACAGGAGGTTTCTTTCTTTTAGAAAAATCGGTCTGAGATATTCATTTCACTCCTACTGTAATAAGCCCAGCAAATCTTGGACTGCCTAGAAGTCTCTCCCATAGTAAAGAGTAAACAAACGGCACAACAACCATCAGAGGAGCACCAATCAAACCGATGGCAAAAAGTCTCTGAACTTTGCTCATAGAAAAGCAACCTTCTTCTTTAATACTATTTTAATGAATTAAAATGAACCCGCTACACAGAGGGCATGCAATAATTGCTTTTAGAGTAAATTAATCAAATGGACTAAGAGAATTTGACTAGCTCTAGAGAAGGTTTTCAACTACAGCAGTTAAGGTGGTGAGAATCAGGAAGCTTCCCCTAAAAATTTATATCAAGATCATTAAAATCCAAGAGCGATGGAAATGCACAAAGAAACCAAGACATGAGCACCATCTTGGAGGTATGTAAAATTTGGAGAAGGGGGTAAAACTCCCAGAAAGAGTTTGAGCTGCTTCGTGTGTGTGTGTGTGTGTGTGTGTGTATGTGTGTGTGTTTCCCCCTGGAGATTAGCATTTGCCTCTTCAGGACATTTTCAGGCTAACTGCTTCACGGTGCCTGAATGAATGAACCAGAAATAGGAAAAGGGGAGGGGAGTTGTAAGAAGTCATTTTAGACCCAAAGAGAATATGGCCTTTCAAATTACAATGAGGAGCAGTTTCCGCCCAACTTTCAAAACTCTCGCTTTGGAGAGGAGACAGGACGGACAAGGAACAGGTCAGGCGTCCAGAGTGCAGCCTAGCAGTGCCGTCAAGCAGCGGTGCAGCTGTGGGCAGGCCACCTGGTCTCAGTTTCCCCACTGTCGCGGCCACCCCTGGTGAGCGCCCGGGCCCGGCGATACCTGCAGTTCGGCCCGCAGCCGCTTGTTCTCCGTGTCCAGCTTGGCCTCGCGACGGCCCATGGACAACAACTCTTGGTTCTTGCTGACCCGGAAGATCTCGTACTCCTTCTTGAGCCGCTCATACTCGGCCGCCGCGTACTCCAACTCCGGCACCGACGAGCCGGTGGACTTGAAACTGGCCCCCAGCAGCCCGCCGCCGCCCGCCCCGCGGGGCAGCGACCCGGGCCCGGCCCCCGCCGCCGCTGCCCCCGCGCCACGGCGGAACGAGTTGCGCAGCAGGCGAGCCTTGGGTTTCACCTCCACCGGGATCTCGCATGCCTCGCCGCCGCCCGCGCCGTAGGTGTCCTCGATCACCTCCCCGCCCGCCGGGCTTACCAGCGACGACGCTGTCCCCATTGCGTCTGCGGCCGCCGCTACTAGCCCGCTGGGTACCAGGAGGAGGCGGGGAGGTGAACGGGGAGAAGCGGGGCCAGCGGGCGGAGGCAGCGGGCTGGGGCAAAGCGAGCGGGCCGGGGCGGGGCAGCGGGACGGAAGGGGCGGGGCGAGCGGGCCGGGGCGGGGTGATGGGGCGGGGCAGCAGGACGGGGCGGGGCAGCAGGACGAGCGAGGGGGCAGGATACCGGAAAGGATGGGGCGGGGCAGGGCAGCAAGGAGAGTGGGGCGAGAGGGGCAAGGCAGAGCAAGTGGTGTGGGGCGGGGAAGCAAAGAGGGCGAGGCGGGACAGCAGGAAGGGCGGAGCGGGGCGGGGCGAAGGGGGCAGGGTCGCAGAAGGGGGTGGGGCGGAGCCAGCCAGACGGGCAGAGACTGCCAGAAGGGCGGGGCGGGGCGAGTGGTGAGCTGCGTGGCGGCTGGGCGGGGCCAGCGCTGGACAAGACCAGGTGGATGGCACACGGTGGATGTCCCCCTGCCTTTTGAACTACAGGAAGTTTTGAAGCTGAGATGGCCCTGCAGAGTTGTACTAAATTGGTGTGGGTGCTGAAACTTTATAACCCCACATGGGCCACTCACTGGTTCTCTTTAGCCAAGGTCATCCCCGTGGGTACTGACAGGTGAGAACTGTCTGCTGACAGCACTTCCAGGTGCTAGAGGTCAAATCCTTCAGTCATCACAACATCTAACACAATAGTAAACACAACCTTTTCCCCAAAGAACTCAGGGAACACAGACCAATTCTAACTCCAAAACAACCTCTCTTTCACTCCCTCCATCAAAGTGGCTAGACATCCTTTCTCTCAACCTTTAAATTTTCTTCAGGAGGACAACAGACACCAGGCCTTTGTGCTCGTTAAAATTCAGGGCATACGTGTTAAGTTCTTCAAGTAGTCTCCTGAGATAAAGGGAAACATTTCCACCATCATGGTACTTTAAGAACTTTGTACCTTTTCAAATCCTTTCTGATCTCTAACTTCCAATTTTTGTACCCTCATTGTGGATCGGAGGTTTAAGGATCACCCATTAGGTTTTTTACCAACTCCTTTGAAAAATTATGCATCTTAGTACCTCCTTTGTCATGGACCTCAGCTAAAGACTTCCAAAATTATGCTTGCGTAATAAAATAATCATCACGCATTCCCTCCAACAAATCACTGAACAAACTACACCAACTTTCTACAGCTTGTAGAGTAAATTCAGATTCTCCAGTTTGGAATTTAGTGCCCTGAAGCCATGCATGTCTCCTTTCCCCAATTCTCTGTTCTGTGACATTCCTCTGCCTGTGACAGTTCCTCCATCCTAATCAGGCTGATGGTCTTCTCTCACCAGCTGATTTCTATTTTCATTCAGTGCTGTCTGCCAACCCTCACTTCTTTCACAGTCTTACTGCTTTCTCTAACTTTCCCTGGATAATCCCACTTTTTGAGAGTTTATCATGTCAATAGTTTCAGTTTAACAATCATTGCCTACTATGCGCAAAGCATGTACTTATTGTTTATCTGATCTTGTTCTCCATTCGTTGCATCTACAGTCTATTGGTATCAATCTTAGTTTTTTGGTAGTTGTTATTTTTCTTATACCATTTGTTGCTATTGAGTTCCTACTGAATAAATAATGTGGTGCAAATGACTAATGATCCAAAGATGTCAAATGTGGCCCCAGTTCTCAAAGAGAGAAGTAACATGGACTAACAAAAAAAAGAGTAACAACATGGACTAGTTGTTACTGCCTTCCTTAATAACCTTTAAGTAGCTTTGCAGATGCCCCAAAACACAAATCTAGGTTTGCTGAGATCCTGTAGATGTCCCCCTATAATACTGATTACTGGCTGTCTTCCTCATCAAGGACATTACGTGGACATTTAACACCTATACTGACCTTGGATAACTACTGGTCAGTACTGAAGTGACCAAGTGAGTGAGCCCAAAGATCATCAGATCTAGGGTGTTAGCAGATACTCAAGTATAATAGTGTGGTTGGTTTTCAATATATGTCTTAATTCTAAAACATGACATAATTCAGTCTAATTTTCAACCCCATCCTCTGTTTTCCTTCTTTATAAAGAATTTAACTGACATATCTCACTCTGTATTTAGAAAAAGTAACTTTGAACACAGAGATACAATAAGAAATAAGATCTCTGGCAGGTAGCTTGTGGCTGAATAAAGATTGCCATAAACTTTTAAAATACTCCTCCCTTTGTAAGGTGAGGCTTATGACTGAGACAACTACATAATTTGTGGGTCCCAGTGCTAAATAAAAATGTAGTGCCCTTTGTTCAAAAATTATAAAAAATTTCAAGATGGCAACAGCTGAGCATTAAACCAAGTGTGGGGCCCTTTTGAATCTGGAGCCCTGTGCATCTGCATGTGGGGCTCTTTATGGGGTTGCATGCCCACAAAACCAGCCTATATATGACTCCTAGTCTTGAATATAAGTGAGCTCTGTGACTATTTTACCAATAGACTATGGCAGAAATGATACTGTGACAGTTCCCAACCAAGGCCTTGAGAAAATGACAGCTTCTGCTTCCTGTGTCTTGAAATACTCTGGAAGCCTTGAGCCACTATATAAAGAGACATATTATTCCAAGAGTGCCAGACCGAAGAGGTGCTTGTGTAGGCATTACAGATGAGTCTCAGCTGGGCTCAGCCTCCCACCCAGACTTACCAAGGCATGTGGAATGAAGCCACCTTGGACTCTTTAGACCAGCCCATTCATTAGCTAGACACTGTGACTTCAGTATACACTACAGGGAGCAGAATAACCCAGCCAGCCTCTGCCCAAATTTCTGACCCACAGAATCATGAGATATAATAAAATTTCTATTGGTTTAAGCCGTTATATTTTGGGGTGATTTGTTCTCACACCTCAAACAAGAAAAAAATTTCTCTGCATTTGGTCTGGATAGCTTGTGATATTAATAAACAATGCTGCCATCTTTTTAAAAATGTGATTTGTAGAATAAATATTCAGGTAGGGTTGTGTGTGTTTGGTCCTCAGACTATGAATCTCAGAATCATTTGGGATACTTGTTAAAAACTGAGATCTATTTCATGTTAATTTCTGAGACTAGGGCTTGAAAATTTGCAGGTTTAGTTAGCTCCCAGGTGGTACTTACATACTTTGAGATCTCAGAACCACTGAGATTGCATAAAAATTTTGGTTGATCTAATTCCTTGCTTCTCAAGGCGTGGTCCACAGACAGCAGCATCAGCACCACCTTGAAGCTTGTTAGGAATCAGATGCTCACATTCCATCACAGACCTACTGAATCACAATTTGCAGATTAAACGGCTCCCCAGGTGATCTGAATGTACACTAAAATTTGAGCAACATTGCCGTAGAATGATTCTTAACCTTGGTTGCACATTACGATCACCTGGAGAACTTAAAAAAAGAAAGACTGCTGCCTGGGCTTCGCCCTTAGATCAGAATCTCCGGGGTTTGGGGTCTGGCCATCATTAATTTTAAAAACTCTCCAGAGGATTTTAATCAGTAGTCAAGGTTGAAAACCAATGATTTCACCTCTGCCATCTCATTATTGCCAACATGTGTGCAATCCCCTCTGGTAACTGTCTTGGCATATGTTTGCATTCAGATTTCTGTTCGAGCCGTCTTTCCTTTCATCACGGTTCACCATAGTGAATGCGCGCGGGATTTTGACCATATAGAATTGTGCTTCAACTTTAGAGATAGACATGGCACCACAAATGGTCATAATGTCCCCAAGGAAATTTATCACCTTGGAATAAATGACCTTATCTAATTGGAAATGCTACATTGAATAATGGTCTTTGAAGAGCAAGGAACTCTGCAGAAGGAAGGCATTTTAGTTCTCATTAAAATTTCCAGCCTTCTCCCAGGTCATTTAGTCCTCCTCAGTTCTTCCAAGTGAATTCTGACTTCTAAAGTCCCATGCTACAAAGTCTGTAAATATAACTCTAATTTTAGGAACTAATTAACAATAGGAAAAACTAATCTGATTAAGCGCCTGTGATTTAACATTTCTACCATTAGGGGTCAGTATAACTCAGGAAAAGATTAATTTGGCGGTAGGTATAAAAAGGATCATCTTTCTCACATGAAGATGACTGTAAAGAATTCAGTCTGGGTGGTGTTTTCATTAGTGATCGTCTACATTGCCTTGCTTAGTTCCCATCACAAGTAATAATGACTTTGGAAATTAGCTATAAGAGCATAGGTCAGCAAATTTTTTCTATAAAGGACTGGTTAGTAAATATTTCAGTCTTTGCAGGCCATATGGTCTCTGTCACAATTAGTCAACTCTGCTATTATAGCACAAAAGCAGCCCTACACGATATGCAAACAAATGGCATGTCTGCATCCCAATAAAACTTTATTTACAAAAACAGCTGGCAGGCTGGATTTGGCTTGGAGGCTATAGTTTGCTGACCCCTGAGCTAGAGAGGTAGTTCTCAAACCTAGATAATTTTCAGAATTACCCGGGGGAGATTGTTAAAAATTTAGATTTCTGGACCCCACATCCAATCCACTAAATCAAAGTATTTGTGAGTGGGGCTTATACATTTTGATTTTTTAAAGTTCCCATTTGATTCTGAAGCAAATACTAATTTAGAAACCATTAGGCCAAAATTAAATTAATTGCCTCTTTCAAGGAAACATAAGGTCCACCTTGGCATAAGATTTTCGGCATCTGAATAACTACCATGGTGTGAAAGATATAAATGTAAAGCTTGGGATTAGAATATCTTTATAGGTACTCTCAAAGTACATCAGTGAGGGGCTCATTACTCTGTGTTTGTCTTAAGCCACTGGTCTTGGAATTATTTGGTACCACACTACAACTCAGTCTATCCTGACTGACAGAGGGGCATCCTGAATTCGTTTGAATAGGGAAGGGGAAGAGATTGAAGAAAACAGTAAAGGAGAAGGAAAAGAGATGAGAGAAATGGTAGAATGCTGTGTAGTACCTCCCCCAAATGTCCCAAATCTTCAGTAAGTTTACAAATTCTGAAAA